AGGTGATCCTTCCACCTCAGCCTTCCAAGTAGCTGGAACCACAGGCATGTGCCACCACGCCTGGCTAATTTTTAATTTATTGTAGAGATGAGGTCTCACTATGTTGCTTAGGCTGGAATTGAACTTCTGAGCTCAGCAATCCTCTTACCTCCACCTCCCAAAGTGCTGGGATTACAGATTTGAGCCACCGCACCTGGCTCTTTTGAATTTTCTAGTAGAACTTTGACTAGAACTGGAAATGTTGTGTCTCCATTGGCTAGTTTCCTCAATCATGTTATGAAGGATTTTTAGTTATAGCATACATAGTTGTGACTGTGAAACATTTTATTTTATTTTATTTTTTTGAGTCGGAGTCTCACTCTGTTGCCCAGACTGGATTGCAGTGGCGCTCCCAGGCACCGCAGCCTCGACCTGCTGGGCTCCGGTGATCCTTCCACCTCAGCCTTCCAAGTAGCCAGAATTACAGGCATGCGCTACCACGCCCGGCTGATTTTTTTTATTTATTGTAGAGATGAGGTCTCGCCAAGTTGCCCAGGTGGGTCTCGAACCCGTGGGCTCAGGCAATCCACTCACGAAACATTTTCTTTGGTTGCAATCTACTAGTTACCCTCTCAGAACTTCAGTTTCCTCATCTGAAGACCAAGGATAATAGTACCCACCTTGTAGATAGTTGTGATGATTGAATGACATGATATAAGAAAAGCACAGGGACACATTTTAATTGTACAGCAAGTATCGGTTATTATGTACAAAATAATCTCATTTGAATGGCTAATAGGATTTTTTTTTTAATTTTTAAGGAAGAGACTTAAAACAATTATATTTCAATCTCTATATATCTGTCAACTCCATGGAACTTCCAAAACGCAAAGAAGTTATTTGCCGAGGATCTGATGATGAATACTCTCTCTGCAGAACACTGAAGGGAGGTAAGTTTTCAATTCATATTACTTTTAGAATAGCAGACAAATCTTTTTTTTTTTTTTTGAATTAGAGTCCCACTCTGTTGTCCAGGCTGGAGTGCAGTGGCACGCTCATGGCCACTGCAGCCTCGACCTGCTGGACTCAGGTGATCCTTCCGCCTCAACCTTCCAAGAAGCTGGAACTACAGGTGTGCACCACCACACCCAGCTAGATTTTTTTATTTAAAAAAAAAATCTCACTAAGAGATCTCACCAAGTTGCCCGGGCTGGTCTCGAACTTGTGGGCTCAGGCAGTCCTCTCACTTTGACCTCCCAAAGTGATGGGATTATGGGCGTGAGCCACTGCACCTGGCCTTGTTTTTTTTTTCATTTTCATTTTCTTTTTCTTTTCCTTTTTTTTTTTTTTTTAATGAGGCTAAATCTCACTGTGTCACCCAGACTGGAGTGCAGTGGCATGATCACAGCCACTGCAGCCTCTACCTGCTGGGCTCAGGTGATCCTTCTCCCTCTGCTTTCCAAGTAGTTGGAGCCATAGATCTGTACCACTATGCTTGGCTATTTTTTGATTTATTTATTTTTTTGAGTTGGAGTCTCACTCTGTCGCCCAGACCGGAGTGCAGTGGCCGCTCCCGGCCACCGCAGCCTCAACCTACTGGGCTCCGGCGATTCTTCTGCCTCAGCCTTCCGAGTAGCTGGAACTACAGGTGTGCGCTACCACGCCCAGCTAATTTTTTATTTATAGAGATGAGGTCTTGCCAAGTTGCCCGGGCAGGTCTCGAACCCTCGGGGTCAGTCAATCCACTCACTTCAGTCTCCCAAAGTGCGGGATTACAGACTGAGCCACCGAGCCGGGCTTATTTTTTGATTTATTGTAGAGTCAGGTCTCCCCAAGTTGCCCAGTCTGGTCTTGAACTTCTGGGCTCAGCAATCCTCTCATCTTGGTCTCTCAAAGTGCTGGGATTACAGGAGTGAGCACCTGGCTCCTTTTATGTTTCTTTCTGGACTTATTTACAGACTCATAAAATTCAGAGTTTAGGACCTTAAAATTCATTAAATGAAAACCTGCACATTTTTCCTAAATAATTTTATGCTAACAATTAAATAGTTTAAAAGATTATAAATGTAATACTGTCACATTACCAAAAATTGAAAAGTATAGATAGTAAACTCACAGATTTATTTATTTATGTATTTATATATTTATTTATTTATTGGGTCTCATTCTGTTACCCAGGCTGGAATGCAGCGGTACAATCATGGCTCACCACAGCCATGATATCTTGCACTCATGTGATTCTGCCATCTCAACCTCTCGAATAGCTGGGCTACAGGCACGTGCCACCATGCCCAGCTAATTTCTTGATTTTTCTGTAGAGACTAGGTTCGCTTTGTTGCCCAGGCTTGTCTTGAACTCCTGGGCTCAAGTAAACCTCCCACCTTAGCCTCCTAAAGTACTGAGATTATAGATGTGAGCCTCCGTACTTGACCCAGAATCATATTTTTTTTTTCAGTGTGAAGGACTGCTGACTGATCAGGGTGGTAGTTGCTGAAGGCTGGGATGGCTGTGGCAATTTCTTTTTTATTTATTTATTTATTAAACATAATTTTTATTTTAAAATTGTGGGGTACAGTTAAGGGTTAGGTATACAAATATGCATTGTGCAGGTATCCTTGTTGATGAGGTGTGCTCCCATCCCCTGACAATATTGACTACCATTAATCCTACCTCCCTTCCTCCCCCCTGCCCCCCTATAGTTTCCCACCACTGTCAATCCTTTTCTTATAATATTACGATAGTTGTTCAGGGTCTGCTTATAAGTGAGAACATGTGATACTCAGATCTTTATTTCTGTGAGAGATCACTCAGTACTATAAACTCTAATGCCATCCAGGTAGTTGCAAAATTCATGATTTTGTTCTTTTTTATGGCTACATAATATTCCATTGTGTATATGTACCACATTTAAAAAATCTGGTCCTCTTTTGATGGACAGCATGGTTGGTTCCATGATCTTGCTATTGTGAACAATGCTGCGATAAACATACGTGTGCAGGTATCTTTTTTATAGAGTGAGTGAGTTCTTCAGGGTATATTCTCAGTAGAGGGATTGCGGGGTCATATGGAAGGTTGATTTTTAGAGCTTTTAGGAATCGTCACACTGATTTCCACAGAGGCTGCACTAGTTTACACTCCCACCAACAGTGTAGAAGTGTTCCCTTTTCACCAGATTCTCTCCAGCATCTATTATTTTTGAGTTATTGATAATGGCCACAGAATCATATTTTAAAAAACACTTTGGAAGTATTTCCTTCTTTTAAAAATGTATACATATTGTTTACATGGTTGTAACTATACTGTATTATTTAATTTTTTTTTTTGAGGCAGAATCTCACTCTGTTGCCCAGGCTGGAGTGCAGTGACACAGTTATGACTCACCACAGTCTTGACCTCCTGGGTTGAGGCAGTTCTTCCACCTCAGCTCGCCAAGTGTTTGAAACAGGTGTGCATCCTCATGCCTAGCTAAGTTTTTATTTCTTTTGTAGAGACAGGGTCTTGCTGTTTGCCTAGGCTGGTCTTGAACTCTTAGGCCCAAGCAACAATCCTCCCTCCTTGGCATCCCTAAGTGCTGGGATTATAGTATGAGCCACCATGCCCAGCCTTATTTAATTCTTTGACTAGCTTTTCCATGTAGGTAAAAAATCAGAGTATATGCTGAGCACAGTGATTCACACCTGTAATCCCAGCACTTTGGGAGGCGGAGGCGAGAGGCCTGCCTGAGTCCAGAGGTTTGAGACCACCCTGGGCAACATGGTGAGACCTCCTCTCTACAATAAATAATAATAATAAAAATTAACTGGGTGTTGTAGCATGTGCCTGTAGTTCCACCTACTTGGAAGGCCAAAGCAGAAGGATATTCTGAGCTCAGCAGGTCAAGGCTGCGGTGGTTGTGAGCATGCTACTGCATGCTGCTGGGTGACAGAGTAAGACTATGACTCAAAAAAAAAAAAAAAATCAGAGTATAAGCATTATACAGTGAGATATTTCCTTTAGTGGATATGCTCTAGTTTATTACACCAATCTACTACTGGCCATTTAGTTTTCTTCTGATATAAGTAATAGTATAATAAATGTATTTCCATATATAGTTTTTCTTATATTTTAAATTTGAATATTCCCATATTCGGAAGGAATTATAGATTAGGGATGGTTCCCAGGGAGATTTCTGGTTGGATATATTTGTGGTTTTGTTTGCATAATGTCAAATTACTTTTCTTAAAAAAATTATACCAATTTTATTTATTTATTTATTTATTTATTTATTTATGAAGTCTCACTCTGTTGCCCAGGCTGGAAGGCAGTGACATGCTGATGGCCACTGCAGCTTCAACCTGCTAGACTCAAGTAATCCTTCTGCCTCAGCCTTCCAAGTAACTGAAACTACAGGCACATGCTGCCACGCCTGGCTAAGTTTTTGATTTATTGAGGAGATGAGATCTCGCCAAGTTGTCCAGGCTGGTATTGAACCCGTGAGCTCAAGAAATTCTCTCATCTTGGCCTCCTAAAGTGCTGGGATTATAGGCGTGAGCCTCCACACCTGGCCTATTTATTTATTTTAAATAATTTTCCTTATTAATAGCTTTAGGGGTACAAATGATTTTTGGTTGCCTAGCTACTTTGGATAGTGGTGAAGAAATCTAGGTTTTTAGTGTATCTTTCACTCAAAAATCATGCCAATTTATACATTGTACCATCAGCAATGTATATGTATAATAGTTTAATCAATCTTCACATTGGGCACTATCATTTTTTAAAAAGTTAAAAAAAGGCTGGGCGCAGTGGCTCACACCTATAACCCCAGCACTTTGGGAGGCCAAGGTGAGAGGATTGCCTGAGCCCATGGGTTCAAGACCAACCTGGACAAATTGGTGAGACCTCATCTCTACAATAAATCAAGAAACTAGCCGGGTGTGGTGGCACATGCCTATAGTTCCAGCTACTTGGAAGGGTGAGGTGGAAGGATCACCTGAGCCCAGCAGATCGAGGCTGCAGTGGCCGTGAGTGTGCCACTGTATTCCAGCCTGGGTGACAAAGTGAGACTCCTACTCAAAAAAACAAGTTTTTTTTAGATTAGAAAATTTGTGCCTAACTTTTTATTAACTTTTGAAAATTACTATTGCAGTTAAATATTTTCCTGTACAATTATTTATCATTAACTTGTGGTCTTTATTTTTTTAAAAAAGATTTCAGGTACTTTACATGCATACCCTAAATTTAATTGGAGGCCAGAGACAGTGACCTGTAATTCCAGAATTTTGGGAGGCCAAGGTGAGAGGATTGCTTGAGCCCAAGAGTTAGAGCCCAGCCTGAGCAACATAGCAAGACCTCGTCTCTACAATAAATTAAAAAATTAGCCGGGTGTGGTGGCACATGTCTGTAATCCCAACTACTTGGGAGACTGAGGTGGAAGGATTGTTTGAGCCCAGGAGGTTGAGGCTGTACTCAACTCAATGATCACATCATTGTACTCCTGCCTAGGTGACAGAATGAGATCCTTACTCAAAATAATAATAATGATAATAAAATAAATGGGACAAAAAATGGCAAATAAGGGTAGACAATTAATGGAATGAGAGAAATATAAAAATTCATAACAGAAAGGTCTGAGGGTACATCAATTTGAGTATATAACTTTAGCAGTCAGTTAAAAAAGTTTGCAAGTAAATGAGTGTGCTTGTTTTGCAACTAAATCTTCAAGCTGCATCTCCTGTTTCTAACTAGTCTGACTCCCCCAAACCATATGCAAATTATAGAGCTGGCAATGTGAGTACGTCTGAACTCAGAGTCACAAAGACCTGAGTCTGTATTTCTTTTATCTACCAGCAGTGTGAGTTTGGGCATGTTATTTGACTTCTCTTGGCCTATGAAATGGGAAAGTGAAACTCATCTTGCATGGTTTTATAAATTAAATTAGAGAATGTATATAAAAAAGCTCAGTATAGTGCTTGGATTGGAAATTAGTTCCTAATTTGACAGTCTCGTTACTTTTACAATTGAGGAAACTGATATCAGCAGTTGTTCAGTAAAGTGTCCTTGGTCATTTGGAAAACTAGTAACAGAACAGTCTCTTAACTCAAGAGACAAGCGTTTTACTGTGTTGTGCATTCTCTTTAGAAAAAAATCCTCTTAGCAGATTACTGTTTTTTTTTTATGTCAGTTTCTCTTGCATAACTGTTTTACAATTTTCACATAATCTCTGTGGGATTATGTGACATTTAATCTGAATTTTCAAAGTTTTGCTTTCTTGAGACTTAAGATGTATCAGACTCAACTCAGTCTGCCAGCTTTTTCTTTCCCTCCGCCCACCTCCTTCCGCAAACCTCTGATGAGCTTAATTTAAACAAGTCACGATTTAGGTTCTAGTGATCTAAAGTTGAATGGTAAGGTCTTCTTCCTGAGAAAGTCACTCTGGGGAAAATTGGATTGCCATAAGCAGAATATTAAAACTGGCCTCCTATCTCTCACCATATAAAAAAAATCAACTCAAGATGGATTAAATATTTAAATGTAAGACCTGAAACTATAAAAATACTAGAAGAAAACTTACCAAAGACTCTTTTGGACATTGGTCTAGGCAAAGAATTCATGACTAAGACCCCAGAAGTACAGGTGAAAAACCAAAAATAGATAAATAGCACTTAATGAAACTAAAAAGCTTCTGCACAGTAAAAGAAATAATTAGCAAAGTGAACAGACAACATGTAGAATGGGAGAAAATATTTGCAAACTTCATTTGACCCAGGACTAATAACCAGAATATACAAGGAACCCAAACAACTCAACAACAACAAAACCCACAAATAATTCCATTAAAAGTGTGCAAAGTCCTTTCCGGCGGTGACGACCTACCCACAGGAATATGCCTCTTGCAAAAGATTTCCTTCATATCTCTCCAGAAGAGGAGAAGAGGAAACACAAGAAGAAGTACCTGGTGCAGAGCCCCAAGTCCTACTTCATGGACATGAAATGTCCAGGATGCTATAAAATCACCACGGTCTTCAGCCATGCACAAATAGTAGTTTTGTGTGTTTGTTGTTCCACTGTCCTCTGTCAGCCTACAGGAGGAAAAGCAAGGCTTACAGAAGGCTGTTCCTTTAGGAAGAACTAGCACTAAAACCACCCCAAACAAGATGAATGGGAAACGTTCCCAACAGACATATTTTGGATTAAAGAAAAATGTGTGCAAAGGATATGAATACACAATTTACAAAAGAAGACATACAAATGACTGGCAAGTATATGAAAAAGTGCTCGACATCACTAATCATCAGAGAATAGCAAATGAGATATCATCTTATCCCAGTCAGAATAGTTATTCTTAAAAAGACAAACTATAACAGATATTGGTGAGGACGCAGAGAAAAGGAAACTCATATACGCTGCTGGTGGGAATGTAAATTCATACAATCGCTATAGAAAACAGTATAAACTGGGCTCGGTGGCTCAGCCTGTAATCCCACGCTTTGGGAGGCTGAGGTGAGTAGATTGCCTGAGCCCAGGGGTTTGAGACCCTCCTGGGCAACTTGGTGAGACCTCATCTCTACAATAAATCAAAAAATTAGCTGGGCGTGGTAGCGCGCGCCTGTAGTTCCAGCTACTTGCAAGGGTGAGGTGGAAGGATCGCCAGAGCCCAGCAGGTAGAGGCTACAGTGGCCGGGAGCGGCCACTGCACTCCAGTCTGGGCGATAGAGTGAGACTCCAACTCAAAACAAAAAGAAAACAGTATGGAGATTTCTCAAAGAACAATTGATACAGCAATGCCACTGCTGGGTATCTACCCAAAGGAAAAGAAATCAATATATCTGAACGATACCTGCATTGCTTGTTTATTGCGGCACTAGTCACAATAGCGAAGATATGAAATTGACCTAACATTATAGGACCACCAGATTTAATTGCCATTGTGTGGTAACAGACCAATATGCTGAAACAGTGGGAGTTGTAGCAAATACAGAGTTTAATAATTGTGGGGCAACCAAATGAGGAGACAGGAAGAAACCTCAAATCTCCCTCCCTGAGAGGTCTGAGTATGAGATTTTTAAGGGGTCTGGACAGATGATGGGCTAAAATGTGGGAATTGTTGAGAAGTGAGAGGTGAAGTCATGGGACAGGGAGATGAATAAACAGCATTCTTGTGAGGAGTCAGTTCCTTGGTGGGGTCTTCAGACTGGTTGGTGGCAGTTATTCTGCTGGAATTCAGGATCTGAAAAACACCTTAAGAAATTCTTGGGTAAGCAGACTTCTTTGCCACTATACAAAACATTCATGTAACCAGAAACTATTTGTACTCCCCTAAAGATATTGAAAAAAAGAAAAAGGAAAAAAAAGGAAGCCGTGGGTGAAAAGGTCCAGTGTTGGAGAGTCTATCTATAGGGACAATGGGGAAGCAGGTGGTCACTGTGATATGCGACTCTTAGCAGCTGCTGCAGAAAAGTGGGTTGAAGTGCACCAATGCAATCTGGTCAATGCCTAACTAGAATCCTGCCTACAGTCTGATTTGTAATTCTCATTAACCCTGTGAAGGTGTTTTCTTTTTCTTTTTTTCTTTTTTTGAGTTGGAGTCTCACTCTGTTAACGAGGCTGGAGGGCAGTAACATGCTTCCAGTCACCACAGCCTTGACCAGCTGGGCTCAGGTGATCCTTCCGCCTTAGCCTTCCAAGTCGCTGGAACTACAGGCATGTGCACCGTGCCTGACTAATTTTTTGATTTATTGTAGAGATGAGGTCTCACCGTGTGGCTCAGGTTGGTCTCAAACCTGTGGGCTCAGGCAGTCCTCTCACCTCAGCCTCCCAAAGTGCTGGAGTAGTAGGCATGAGCCACCGCGCCCAGCCAAGGTGTTTTCACTAAGTGTCCATCAAATATGGATACAGAAAATGTGGTGTATTTACACAATGGAATACTATTCAGCCATAAAATGCCTTTTGCAGCAACATGGATGGAACTGAAAGCTATTATCTTAAATGAAACAAGCCAGGCACAGAAAGTCAAATATTGCATGTTCTCACTCACAAGTGGGTGCTAAAAAGTTTGTACACATGGCTGGGCTTAGTGGCTCAGCCTGTAATCCCAGCACTTTGGGAGGCTGAGGTGAGTGGATTGCCTGAACCTGAGGGTTCGAAACCAGCCTGGGCAACTTGGCGAGACCTTGTCTCTACAATAAAAAATAAAAAAATAGCCGGGCATGGTAGTGCGCGTCTGTGGTTCTGGTTGCTCGGAAGGCTGAAGTGGAAGGATTGCCGGAGCCCAGCAGATCGATGCTGGGGTGGCCGTTAGCATGCATGCCACTGCACTCCAGCCTGGGCGAAGGAGTGAGACTACAACTCAAAAAGAAAAAATTTGTACACATGGACATAGAGAGTAGATTGATAGACATTGGAGACTCAGAAGGGCAAAGGGTTGGGTGGGCAGTGGATGCTGAGAAATTAGTTCATGGGTTCCATGTACATTACTTGGGTGATGGATATACTTAAAGTTCTGACTTGACCAATATGCACATGTACCCCATAAATCTATACAAATAAAAAAATTCACTCTGTTCTGCAAAAGGCAGTCATGGGAACCAAATTTACCATGAAATGTCGTAAGTGCTAATAGAATTATATGCTGTTATTTTAATCATATAGTTATGAAATAATGGTGATAGAAAACTCAGATAAGTCTTTATAGAATATTTTTTTAGAGTCTCGAATCTGTGAACATCAGAGAGTGAGGAGAAAGAACATTCCCTGGAGAGGAAACAGCATATGCAAATACATCTAGTCAAGAAAGAATGTGACTTATTTGGAAAGTAGTTCTTTTGTAGTTGGAGCAGAATGTGCTGGTGGGGAATTGTTGGAGATGAGCCTAGGAAGGGGGGATGGCAGGTGAGCATGTAAGTCATGCACAAAATACTGGCCTGTATCCTATAGTCAGTGGGCAGGAATGACCCACTGAGATTTCCATTTTTGTAGATAACTAACATCCATATGGAAGGAGGCGAGGGTTGGCTGAGGCAGGAAACTTGAGTGGAAGGAAGAGCAGCCAGGAGGCCGTGTGAGAGACCGTGAGGACCGAACAAAGATGGCAGCCCTGGAAATAGAGGGGAGGAAATGAAAGAGAGCATATTGGGAGACAGAATTGGCAGGCACACTAACTGATTTAATGTGGAGGGCAAGGATTAGGCAAAATCAAGAACCACTTGAGGGCCAATGACTGGATATATGGAAACGGCATTATCTGATAGGATGTGTACAAAAGAAGGGGCAGATTTTCAAAGAGCAACATAATGCGTCCTGGTCTAGACATGTTGTGCTCAAGGTAATTTTGGGACATTCAAACAAGCATGTCCATCTGGTAGCTGAGTATGTGGGCCCAGAGCTTGGGACATTATGATTTTAGAAGCATTAACGCATTAAGAGACCTTTGAAGTTTGGGAGTCAGGTTTTTAACCAGTACCATACATATCTATATTTTAAAAAACTGTTCTTGCTGTTTTTGTTGCAAAAGTCATGCATCTTTAGGATATGATATTTAGAAAATATAGACAAGCAAAAAATAATAATAAATTACCCATAATCTTAGCACTTTACACACACACATCTATTCCTTCAAAAATACGTTTATGAATAAATAAATGGACATTTCAAAGCATTTTAAATTTAATAAGCCTGTTAGCTCTGTTACCAGGATTTTACTAGGGCTACTGTAACAAAGTATCACAAACTAGATGGCTTAGAACAGAAATTTATTGTCTAATAGCTCTGGAGGCCAGAAGTGTGTAATCAAGATGATAGGGCCATGCTCCCTCTGAAAGAGCTAGGCTTCTTTCTGAGCTTCTGGTGGTCCAGGCATTCCTTGCTTTGTAGATGGCCATCTTTTTTTCTGTGTCTCTTTATAGTGTCTTACTTCCTCTTTTTTTTTTTTGAGTTGGAGTCTCACTGTGGTGCCCAGGCTGAAGTGCAGTGGTACAATCACGGCCACTGCAACCTCGACCTGCTGGGTTCAGGCAATCCTTCTGCCTTAGCCTTCCAAGTAGCAGGAACTATAGGCATGTGCCACCACACCCGGCTAATTTTTTGATTTATTGTAGAGACAAGATCTCATCATGCTGCTTAGGCTGGTCTAAAACTCCTGAGCTCAGACAATCCTCTGGTCTTGGCCTCCCAAAGTGTTAAGACTACCAGCTTGAGTCACCATGCCTGACCTCGTCTTACTTCCTATGCATTTCTATCTTAGTGTCAAAATTTTTCATTTTATTTATTTATTTTTGAGTTGGAGTCTCACTCTGTTGCCCAGGCTGGAGTGCAGTGGCACGCTCACGGCTACTGCCGCCTCTACCTGCTGGGCTTAGGTGATCCTTCATCCTCAGCCTTCCAAATAGCTGGAACTACAGGCGTGCGCCACCATACCCAGCTAATTTTTTGATTTATTGTAGAGATGAGGTCTCATCAAGTTGCCTAGGCTGGTCTCGAACCCGTGGGCTTAGACAACCCTCTCACCTCAGTCTTTCAAAGTGCTTGGATTATAGTCATTAGCCCCTGCACCTGGTTTTCTTGCTTTTTGTTTACTTATTTATTTATTTATTTATTTGGAGTTTCACTCTGTCACCCAGGCTGGAGTGCACTGACAGGCTCATGGCCACCACAGCCTCTATCTACTGGACTTAGGTGATCCTTCCACTCAGCTTTCTAAGTAGCTAGAACTGCACGCCACCACTCCCAGATAATTTTTTGATTTACTGTAGAGACAAGGTCTCACCAAATTGCCTGAACTCTGGTAATTCTCTCACCTCCACCTCCCAAAGTGCTGGGATTACAGGCATGAGTCACCACGCCCGGCTCAAATTTTCCATTTTTATAAGGACACTGTCATAGTGGGCTAGGGCTCACCCTAATGACCTCCTTATAACTTGATCACCTGCAAAGTCTCTGTTTTCAAATAAGGTCATGTTCTCAGGCACTGGGGGTTAGAACTTCAACATATTTTTTGTTGAACATTATTTCAACCCACCACACCCTCTGAGTCTTGTTTTGCATAGTTGCCAGGAGATCCAGACTGGACCATGAGTGAACTGCATGGATATCTTTTGGGAGGAATAGAGAAGGAACTTTGTCCTCCTTTTCCCTGGC